CCAATGAAACACCTTATCACACACACTTTTAATGGATGTGTTCCGGTCGAAGACTATCACCAGAGACTGGTCATCATATACACAACTAGCCAATTTTGTGAAAAACCATTCCCAAGAAGGTTCATCTTTAGCAACTACGATCCCAAAAGCTAATGGAAATATCTGAAAATTCCCATCTTGTGCGGTTGCAACTAACAAAACATTTCCATACTTCCCACTTAGGTGAGTCCCATCCACCACAACGACCCTTATATGATACTTAAAACCTTTGATATAAGCTATAAAAGAGAGAAATAGATACTTAAATCTATTGATAGAATCAAGTTCTATAGCTGTGATAAAATCAGGATTTGCGAAGGAGATTTGCTCGAGATATGATGGCAGACACGCATACCCATCTTCTGATGATCCTCTCACCAATGTTTGTGCATATAACAATGCTCTGTATGAAGTGGTGTAATCAAGTGTCATGCCAAACATGTTCTTCATTGCATCAGTGATATGTTGCGGAGTCAACCCATCAATGATTCCAACACGATCAATGAAAAGCCTACCAACATACTTCGGAGTATAGTGTCTCCGTTGAGCGCTTCGGTCTCCCACTAAGCATGTATGTGTTTCCACATACTTTGTTACCCAAAACGTGTTTGTCCCATGTTTCAAACTCGCTCTGATCTTCCATCCACAACCACTAACCCGACATATTGTCACAAGGAGAGTTTTTGTATATTCTGAAGGAGAACTTACGCCTCACTTCTGTCAACCGCAGCTCCGAAAGCAGTGCATCCTTGCTAACAAAACTCTGGTTGACATAGATACTATTACCATTCGATTTCCTTCCTGCAATAGCTTATGTCTTTTGAAATCTTCAAAACACATATCATCTTCTTCTTCCTCATCCTCATCTTTAACATTTCCATAAACACTGTAATCCTCAACATTCTCGTCCGCTTCAGCAACAATAGAGATATCAGCATCCTCCTCATCATCATCCTCCTCCCCATCATGATTTTCATCTTCAACCAAATCATCATCATCATCTTCAAAACATTGTTCAGTTTCATCAGCTTCTTCCCTTTCCTCTGAAATCGTTTGCACCTTGCTACGGCTTGATACACAAAGTTATACTCCATGCGTTTTGGTTATCTCGAGCAAGTTTTGAATTTGTCTATCACTTGTAACATGAATAGGAAGGATGTCTGGATCCATCTGTTGAATCATTTATGCTGGTAGTGAGTAGGTTATCTCCATATATTTTGTGCTCATGTCCAGGTTATAACCTTCTTGAGCTATTGCAACAAGTTCATAATGTGTCAAACCTTCACTCAATAAAAAAATTCTCGCTCCTTTGAAATTATCAAACAAAAGATCTCAACAACCATCTTTGAACAACTATTCTCCATACACTGCATGTAACTGACACCTCATCTGCAAAAATTCAAAATAAAACACATTAGCAAACATAGAAAAAATGAAAGTTTACTAAACATTGACGCAGACGACATATCAGTAAGTCGTCCAAACAGGTCATTTTTGCAATTGACTTTTCAATGGGACGACTTACTTATAAGTCGTCAAGCTTTGTTTGTTAAAAAAATTTCTAGACAACTTACCACTAAGTCGTCTAGGATAAACGGGTTAGTTTTGCATTTGATCGAAGTGTTTCAGTAATTTGACTTTTCCTGGACGACTTACCAGTAAGTTGTCGCTGGGAAAACAAAAATTTCAATATTTTATTAAAGCTAGACAACTTATCTGTACGCCGTCTCAGGTTAGTTTGCAATATGAAAATAAAACTTAAATATTTTACTTTTTCCCAGACGACTTACGAGAAAGGCGTCTTAGATAAGTAAGGTTTGACCAGAATCTCGGAATAAAATCTGGACGACTTTGCTTATCTTGGACGACTTTCAAATAAGTCGTCTGAGGTCCGACTTACTTGAAAGTCGTCTGACTGGAAGACTTCTTTTTAAGTCATCTGGGAAAATTTAAATATTTAAGTTTATTTTCCAATTGCAAAACTAACCTGAGACGAACAGATAAGTTGTCTAACTTGAATAAAATATTGAAATTTTGTTTTTCCAGAGACGACCTAAAGGTAAGTCGTCCAGGAAAAGTCAAATAACTGACACAATTTGGTCAAATGCAAAACTAACCCGTTTATCTTTGACGACTTAGTGGTAAGTCGTCTAGGGTATTCTCTAGATTTTTTTAAACAAACAAAGATGACGACTTAGAAGTAAGTCGTCTGTTTTACCAGAAGACTTAATCGTAAGTTTTCTATAGTAAAACGACTTATGGGTAAGTATTCTATGCGAACAGATTTGTCAAAAATACCTTCAACTAGTGAGATGACTTTCTTAGCACACATAGTCTTTTCCAACCACCCAGAACTTCAAACGAAAATAACTTACCAAGAATAGTAAGCTTGAATGGCTCTATCAACCATTAAATTTTTTGAATCAAAACCTTGAGTTTTTTGGAAGAATATGGAGACAAATATGAAAGAGATGTTGGTTTTAGTTCATAACAAGTGAGAAATAGAGAGTGTAAATCGATTTTAGGTGCATTAAGAGCTTCAAATTGGTTGTTCAAGGTGGTTAGGGTATTGATGGAAATGACAATCTTGTAAATACTTTAAGATGATGAGATTGAAAGAGTAAAAAAAACTATATTCGGACAAAAAAACAAATGGCATTTTCGTAAATAATGTGAATAGGTAGAGTGAATATGACAAAAAAAACTTATAAAAAAATTAATTTTGTGTTTGACTTTAAGTTTTGAGTCAAATTTGCATAAAAAATCCTAATAAAATAGTACATAACCCCAAACCCTTATAAACCGTATAATATTTTGGCCCAACATGCGTTAACTGCAAAGTTGCAAAAATCATGAGACCCGTAACTAGAAAAACTCGAAAAATGTAGACACTATTCCTAAGAACTCTTTCAATTGAAAAGCTCCAATTTACTTTATTGCTCCAAAAGAGTTCAAATTTAAAAAAAATTACACTATCCTTCATCTATAAATCAATTTTGCTCAATAACCCATCTACTGGCCAATGGGACATAAAAAGAAAGCAAAGCTTTAAATTCTCAGGGATAAAAAACTGATCATTAATCGGCAAAAAGATAAATTGCTTCATAAACTAATGAATATTGACAACCAGTGAAAAAGTAAAATAAAGAAGTTTTAAGAAACTATACTTGTTTTTTTCATTAATTGGATCAGTGCAGGAATCAAACTTCGGTGAACAATTTCGTAAATGTGAACATTTTAACCATTTAACTAAAAGTATTTCCTCGTTACTATATTGTTGTACATTTACATCAAAATTTGGTGGAAATCTGTAGGTTAAATAAAGGTTCATTAATATTTTTTGTATCAAGAGATCTGAATTTTGAGTATTGAAAAAGACAATTTATTAAACAACTATGCATATATTAATAGAGGAAAGACTATAAAAAATCTTCAGTATAATGCAAATAAGCCGAACATTCATGAATTATGTAGTCTTTGGATAATGCAGTTAGATGGAAATCCTCATATGGTAAAGTAGTATTGTTGGTTGACTAATTGTCTATATAATTTCTTACATAATTATAAGAGATAGATTTTACTCTATGCACTTTTACACTTATTCTAAGATATTTTCACTACTAACACACTTTACCTTTTCCAACATACTTATCCCCTCTTAACCTCTTAGCCTACATGACCAACACAACCTTGAACCGACATAATTACATCAAATTAATGTTTAACTAAATTACAAACCACAAAATCACATTTTGAGTTGGTCAGGGTTAAGAGTTAGAATTTGTCAGGGTTACGAGGTTAGAAAGATAAAATATGTTGAAAACAAATATGTGTCTTATTAATGTGTAAAAGCAACATATAATGTAAATATCTCATTATAAAATCATGATAGATCAACACATTGATATTTAAGATTAGGGGTGGCATAATACCTGAAACCCGAACCGACGTACGTGATATGGATCTGCTTATGATTCCTTTGAATATCTGAATGGGCCAGTTTCATATTACATTGGACTTAGGATTCAGGTTCAAATAAATTCAAAATCAAACATGGATCCGAACGTAACCGAAGTACACTTGTAGACATATGTAGTATGTCATAAGATATATATTATATACTTTAGTACATATAAGGATTCATTCAGCTTTCCTAAAACTATATGTTACTACCTTTGGTACTTAACCATCACTTTTTATTCCCTTTTGTTGTAGATTTTGGGAGTCGAAGTCAAATGATAAGCTTGTTGCATATTTCAGCCACGAGTTGTTTTCAATTTCATATTCTTGATATTGTTCGTTCTTTTTCTTTATTAGTTGTCAAACTCTTTTTAACTTCCACATTATCGGTTTGTCACATTAAAACCGATTTTAATTGTTATGCTTAAGAATTTGATATGCGAAAACCTTTGATAGCATCATCCTTCATTCATCTTCGTCATTCAGTCCTCTCTATGAATCCTCCAATCCTTTTGGTCATCTTGAATCGTTACAACTTACAACTAAGGACGAGCGGAAGCGTCGTATTGAAAGCGCTCATAAACCATTTCTCTTTCCTCTTCCCACGATCAATCTTTGAATTACTTTCTTTCTCAAAATCTTCAACAATAACAAATAGGTAAGTTCTTCCCTGTGAAATACATCATTCTACTTTTCTCAATCTTGGGCTTCCTGACCCGTGAAATACATCGTCACGGCTATGTCGGAGATCTCTTATGCTTCCACATTTATGAAGCCATCGTCGGACACTCTTTTCACAGAGGTAAATACACAGGTCTTGGCGGCACTGTGACTTGCGGAGGCGATTGATGTTGTGGGGGATCCGGATCCAGCTCGGTCAAGGCAAGTGGCTGGAGAAGTTGGTGATGTGGAAAGTCTTAAGAGAAATTCGGTGGGAGTGGTTGTGATCGGAAGCGTGATTGGTGCTGATGGATATACAGTGTGTTCCGGTTGATTGAAAGACCTTTGTGGATATCACTTTTAATGCTTTCGGTACACTCCAAAGAGATGCTCCTCCGCTTCAGATTTCACCTAACTACCCCGATCCACCTCCGGCTACCGATGATCCCACCACCGCTTTTCCCGTGTAACGTAAGCAGATCAGTGCCGATCTTGTCTAGGCTGCTAAATAGGTTACCCTCCTTCTTTCATTGGATTTAGTTAAGATGATGTGAAATACAGGTCATCTTCACTATGTTGTTTTAATTCCTTGGCGTGGTACTTTGTTTTGGTGAAGTTTGATGCTTTAGTTGCAGCTCTTCCGTTTTCAAACGGAGGTGAAGAATCTCAGTTGCAAAGAATTGCTGAACTCCAGGTAATATAAGTCTCAGTAACTGATAATCTGAGCTCAATATATAAATCATTGCATGTTCCCTTCTCTGCTATTTTTCTTCAGGTGGAAAATGATGTTATTTGCCAAGATCTCCAAAAACGATTAGAGGCTGCAAGTAAAAATTTCCTGGCTAACTTTGCTCATCTAATGGAGCAAAATCTATCCATTATGCGATTTACAAACTAAAATGTTCAATGTTTAGTTTTTTTTTGGTTGCTACTGCACCACAATAGGACTAAGATGTTGTTTAACCATTGCAAGTAGATATCTTTAGTGGTTAAAGCTCTGAGGGAGATGATGAATCTGATTTCTGCGTATTAGAGCAGTAGCAGTGGCACAAGTATTGGATGAAACTTTACATTTTTGTGATGAAATATTGTATCATCTTGAATTGTGATGTGGTATTAAGATTTGTGACTATTAATGGGATCCAACTATTGCTGGGTTGGGAGGTTATTACAAATGAGATCATGATGTGAAAAAAATATTATGGCACCTTCCTAAAAAATAGCTATTTTGACACACTAGGACACACAATAGCAAGCTTATTCTTCTTTCAAACCTGATATAAAGCCTAATATATAAAACTTAAAAGCACTGCAATCATGTATATACCCTTAAACTAACAGTGTTAAGTCTCAAGCTACCAAGGTAAGCCGTTAGTGAAACTCAAGACCAATATCGACACAAACTAAAGAAGATGTTCTGAAACATCTAACATGTTTAAACTCAAAATAATTGAAAACCAGCCTCTCAGAAATCTTAGCTTGGCACAAGAATTCTAGGAAGCAAAAACTCAAGAACTCAAAATAAACCAAAATTTTCATTTCTTAAACTGTTTAAATCAATCAAAATTAATTTACAACCAAGATTTTGAAAAAATATATATATATATTTGAGAAACTTCATCGGATATACATAAATAAATAAAAAATTAACTATATACACATAAGAGAATGATGGCTACGATATGTTATATATTGTTCTCTTTAATACCATAAGTGTCCTTCTCCTTCGTGTACAAAGAGAACCATCCTTTTGGTTATTTTTTCTGTAGACAATTCACAAATCCCTTTTCTAGTTTTATGATATCGGAGTAAAAGAGATTGCAATCGATGGGTTTTGAAAAGACGATTTTGGGGTCTCCATTGCGAGGAGGAGTTGGATCCACGCACACCGAAAAGAAACAGCTACGGCGATAGGTTACATAAATAAGAACAATTACGAGTGTTAAGATTTCACCAGTTGTATGTATTTGTGTTTGCTTCGTCTGTTTTCTAACATAAATTTATGGGTTCATGGGTAGGGGAGAAAGCATTTTATTCTATGGCTATACTATTAAAACGTAAATAATATAGTAATGTGTAATATTTTGAATTTGGGTTGATTAGTACAGTTAATAATAGGAGATTGTAATATGTTTTGGCATTATTGTGTTCCTTGGATTGGGTATTTTCTTTTTGTTTGGATTGACTAGTGCAGTTAGTAAAACAATTACATTTATTAATATGCTACTGGTATAAAGGGATTATTCTATACCCTTTGTCAAACATATGTAATATAGTACAATTTTTATGTTGCATACACTTCAGTCATATTTTCCTACCATTTGTTATCACGCCAGTTGATAACACGTAAGAAGTATGAGCTATGGTAGGTGTTTGCAGGAAAGCAAATCCGTTATGGGATTGGAGACTTCGCCTTAGTGGATGGTTTTTGTTGTGAATGTTTTCAGGTTTAGCATGTCTTTCGGTGGTTGTTTTCCTGAAACTCAATGCGACATAACAACTTAATCGTTGCGATATTCTCACAGAAACCTCCTCTGGCATTGCAGAAACATGAGTACGAAGTATTCTCCAGCTTCAATCCGGACTACTCACACAATGCAACAACATCCTATATCTATATACATGAATCCATGATTTACTATACCACATAACCTAATAATATAGTTGTGTTTGTTCATTTTGTTGCAAATGTGCTATACCACATGACCTAATAGTATAGTTCATTGCAATTTTTACATAATGTATTAATTTGATGTGATTGTGTGGAACTTCTATAATATGTGGACAATAGTAGTAGTATAGTTATCTATCTAAGGATGTACTTGTTAGGTATCTGTGTGTTCCATTATTGAACATACATTTGTTTATGTGATTTACGTATATGATTTACATTTCACAGGGTTATCTTGTATGATAACGTTTGTGCTTCTAGAACTTAATGTCACACAAAGCTTGAATCAGTGTGCCTCACTCATAGATGAGTCACTTGCGTTGGAGCCTTCTCGACCTTCAGCCCGGAAGAACTTCCGTAATGACATGTTGAATGGAACCCATATGTTTTTCTCTTTACTCATGTGATACTTATAAGTTATTGTTATCACTTTTCAACCATACGCTGCGACTTATTATATTCTCTTGTTTCTCACATGTATGTCTTCAATTATTTCGTTGTATATATGTATCATATATACTTAACTCACCATTTTTGGATCCCTTAAAATCACCAGTTATATTCTTGTTCTATTCTTGTTGCCACTTTCTTATATGTAACATTGCCTGTAATTTGAGTGAATGTCGTAACTATACTATCTAATTTATACGATAGTATAGGTTTTGAATTGGCCATACATGATACTTATGTTAGTATACTAACGTCATTTATAGTAGATCCCAGCAATTGGGACCTCTTTAAGTTCACCGGTTGTATTACATTCTTCATCTACCTAGAAACAACACATTTTCATACCCGATATCTCTATGCCTGCTTACTTTTTCTCTTGCAGCTAAACTTTTTTCCTTAACATCCTTGGTGGACTATACTATAGCACATATAGTATGATATCTTTTGTGTCCTTATTTCTCTTATATGTTCTAGTAGCATACATATGTCTTCCCTATAGTACAGTCCAACATTTTAAGTCTTTTATATTTTGTATTTTTAAACTGTTTATCTTATTAGATTGGAATAAATCTCCAAGCGCCATACACACCTATGATGATGGTCTCTTTACTTTTTTCGGTGCCCATACTACATCATATATATTATAGGATAGTTTGACCTATGTGGTAAAACATGTACATCATACGATATGTTTCTTTTTATGTATTGTATCAACGCTGCAAATGAATTACTCTCCTCATCTTCACGCGCACGCAAGTGAAAGGAGAAAATAGTAAAGTTTTGGTGCTAATTGTCACATCCACTTTATTGTGGCTATGTTCTTAATTTTAGTATTCTTTATGAATATTGATCAAATCAATCCTATATGTATTCTTTATGAATATTGATCAAATCAATCCTATATATATATATCAAATATTGAAGAAAACTTTAAATCTATGTAGGAAAGTGTATTTTATAATATCTTATAAAGTTTTCATAAATTAGGCTTCACGAGCCGTCGGTTTCTTTACCCCTCCCATAAGCTTCATCAGTAACTCCACCATTAGCGTTAACTCCATTTCTTTGAGTTCATGCTTTAAAACTATAGCTGCAATCCTCCCATTTATGTAATATTTATTACCCCACTACCTCTTGAAATCGTAATGCTATAAACAGAGATATGATATCCTTGATTCTGATCACTTCATAGTGCAGCCTCTTCCGCAATGCTTCAAATAAAAACAACCATCGATGGTTCATCACATTCTCGCTATCTGAATTGAGAATTGGCCATTTGTTTCTGGGAGGCAGGTATTGTCAAGAAAGGTTGTGAGCTATTAAGCGTTGACATGCTACTCACAACTAGATGAGAAGGTTCGCTCCGCTTTTGTATACTTCTCGAGTCTTTTACTTAGGTCCTATATCTGACTATACAGGTGAAAAGGTGAAGCTTGTGTGCAAAGACCGGAAGACAACGAAAGAGATCTACATAGTTGTAAATGTATCAAACAAGTATGGAAAGTATAAGTTCGGTGTCCGTGAAGACCATAAATATGAGATGTGTGATGTTATGCTTCTCAAAAAATTCAGACAATGGCTGTTTTAAAATCTCCCAAGGACGTGAATAGTCACGTGTGATATTGAACCATTACAATGGTATTGCGTGCAGATTAGGCAAGCTAACAACATTTTGAAAAGATGTTACTGATGTATTTTTTCTGAGTTGATTAAGGAATATTAGGTTGATGAATATGAGGTTTAAGATTAGTAGATTGGTTTCTTATTAATATTGTTAAAATATTTATTTAGCTTGGATGAAGATGATTCTGGTAATCAAACTCTGTTTGTGTAAGCTTTTGCTATTGATATATCACTTCTCAATAGAAAGGTGGTGGCGGACTCTACTGGCACCATTAGATTCAACGAGTAAGAAGAGGAAAATCACTCAAAGTTGAGATGAAGGCTTCTTCATCGTGGATACTTACCTTCTTTTGCTAGTCATACCTTTATGCGTATGTTGGATAATGTGAATAAATAAATATGCACACTGAGTATCAAAATCAATTTTACAGGCATTTACATTATTCCTTTTCAAACATCAACTTTACATTATGTTTAAATTTCAACTAAATTTACTTTGTTACAACTATCAGCTATGTATTCAATTGTAACTGAATTAATCAGTTACAACCATTTATACTACTCATCTTTGACCTAAGCAACTTTAAAACAAATTAATATATTACAGCCGCTAACCACTATCAAACGGATCCAAAAATATATTCTTCTTCAACATATTTTCATCTTCATATTTTTGAAAATATTTTCTTTACTAAGACCATAAAATAAATTGTACAGATTTGAGTAGGCCATTATAAATTTTAACTTCCGATGTGGACGAATTAAAAGTCCAAACATTTAGTGTAGCTCTCTCTGTCTCTCTTCGTTTAGAGAGAGAAATTTTATCAACTTTTTCCTCTTACCAAACCTCTATCTTTTAGTGGAAGATGATGATTAATTTTTTGCTTGTAACATATTTTTGGTTCTAGGATTGATCTTTTGTTTCGCGTAAAGCAAATTTCTTTTTGCAATAGGCGATTTTTGCTATGTAATTGTCTCAAGGTGGAGTTTCTTTTAAAGACCTTCTTCTATCTCCAAGCTCGAGTCATAATTATCTTCTGTCATGTTTCGAAAAGTTTGATTTTATCCCGTTTGTTTGTGTTGGATCTTTTTACTTCTTTTCGAATTTGCACTTAACCTTTTTTGATAGGAATCAATCTGAAATTTCCCTGATGTGGACCCTAAGACATTGGCTATGAGTGAAATATCCTTGGTAAGAAGATGATGTGATGATGGATTACTCTAGGCTGACTCTATTAGAGATTTTAGAAAATGTTGGCAGTTTCTCTATATTGAACATTGTCTGACAAAAGATCTTCTATTGAGGCATCTGAGATTCCCAGCATTGTCATCTGTAGGTTGTTAGAAACTCCGATTAAATAAACGGTTGGGTCCAAAGGTAGGAGCTTTGATATCGGTAATTGAAGCAGCAGACAATGCGTAGCCAACTCCGTGACACACAACGGCTGGTGCACATCTTTGTTTTCACATCCCTCGCCAATATCCTACTCAACTTCGAGAATGTATGGCTCAGTGGTCAATGGTGTTAACTTGAGCAGTACATTGATTTGCTTCTTCCCCAAAAGATCAGCTTCAAGGATCTCATCATTAGATTCTGAACCCAACTTCTCACTCCATAACTGTAGAATCCCTATAGAAGGCCTTGTGTCCATCGTTATGTCTGATTGCTTTTTGTCACAACTTCCTGTCTTGAAGTTGTCCCCTACAATCCATAATAGTGCTGTTGGTTTTATAAACTCCGCGATTGACGGCAGCGTCATAGAATTACATCTATGGGCACGACAGATGCTGTACAAAAAAAACAAGACAGATCTGTTTCATCCAGCCGCTGCGTCAAGGTCAAGCCAGCAATACGACACTGAAAATTTCAGCGGCAGCCGCAATGCCGTTTTCATGTCTCTGATTGTCTGTTGCGGCTGTTTCTAGTTAGAACACCAAAGAATTTGTTTTTGCCCTAGCTTTATTTTCTGCCGTTGTGTCTAGTAGTTGCGTTGATAAAACGAACAGGGCTATTGTCTCAACTCCATCACTACTACTTATCATCACTCGCCCATAGATGTCCTCAAGGTTGAAGAATGACTGTAAACTAATTTTAGACTCTGAATATTTCATCCTTCTAATCCACTCTTCATAAGCAACAAATTCCAACTTCAGTTTCAAACCCTCCTTTACTTCAAGAGGCAAATCCTTATCCATGTTGATCATTTGTTCTGGTGGTCTTGGAGACTGAAACAAACCATAGTCAGACTTGCTCGCTTTAGCCACGGATGCTGATTGTTCACCTGCAGCAACTGATGGAAAACCTTTTGGGTCTCTAACAGCTCTCTTAGCTAACTCGAACTCCTTCATGGTTTGTTTTGTGTCTTGACTCTGGATATCTTTGACATATATATTGATCCACTCAGGCGGCTTCACTCTGTTCAACAAACCTTCCATCTCATCTTTACTCTGTGGTATATGTTGCAACCACTTAACAAACAGACCTGAAGAATTGGCTATACCTGAAGATAGCATGAGTGATACACCCTGAAGCTTCGTGAGTAAATACGTGGAGGATATAATCTAATATCTAATGTATCGCTTTTGTTTCATCAAGTGTATGTTCTTTTGGGCCTCATGTATTTCGATTGGATTTGGAAAACATTTGTAACAGACCCACTTTGCGTTCGGCTAATGAAATCAAAATTTGACCCCCAAAAAGAAAAATCCAAACATTTTCTTCTCTCTCACTCTCTCTTTCGTTTGGCTTGGTCGCTGTTTCGTTTATGAATCGAGTGTCAGCCATTAACGCTGCTTCTCTTCTCAAACGAGATTTCTCTAAGCACCGCTTCTTCTCCTCCTCCTCTTCTTCGTTGCAGATAATCCCGCGATGTGATGATCCACCTAAACCAATCATCCTAAACCCACTTTACAATCTACTTCCCCACACCCAAAACCCTAATCGAATCGTCGACGTCATCTGCTCTTCTCTCAATCAAAACCCTGATTTTCTTCCTTCCCACCTTCACAACGAGGTCAAACCCCTGATTCCTCATCTAGGCCACCGTGAAATCTCTAGGGTTTTACTTAGGTTCCAATCAGATGCTACTCGATCTCTCGCCTTCTTCAATTGGGTTAAATCCGATTTGGGTAAGATCCCAAACGTCGGTAACTACTGTTTGCTGCTTCACGTTCTCGCTTGGTCAAAAAAGTTTCCTTTAGCTATGCAATTTCTATGTGAATTGATTGAATTAGTCGCTAAGGAGCAAGACGAAGAAGAAGAAGATGTGTTTAGTGTTTTGGTGTCTGCTACTGAGGAATGTAATTGGGACCCTGTTGTTTTGGACATGCTCGTCAAGGCTTACCTGAAGTTAGGCTTAGTAGAAGAAGGCTTCTCAGCGTTTCGAAAAGTGATTTCTTTCGGTTTTCGTGTTAGTGTTGTCACTTGTAACCATCTCTTGAACGGTTTGCTGAAGCTGGATTTGATGGATGACTGTTGGCAAGTGTATCGTGTGATGTGTAGAGTAGGAATCCATCCCAACACTCATACCTTTAACATTCTCACCAATGTGTTCTGTAACGGTTCGAGTTTCCATCAAGTTAATGACTTTCTGGAGAAGATGGAAGAGGAAGAAGGGTTTGAGCCTGATTTGGTTACTTATAACACGTTAGTGAGTAGTTATTGTAGGAGAGGGAGGTTGAAAGAAGCGTTTTATTTGTATAAGATCATGTATCGGCGTCGTGTTGTTCCCGATTTGGTTACCTACACGTCGCTTATTAAAGGTCTTTGTAAAGAAGGGAGAGTTAGAGAAGCTCATCAGACGTTTCATAGGATGGTAGACAGAGGGATTAAGCCTGATTGTGTCGCCTACAACACTCTTATCTATGCTTATTGCAAAGAAGGGATGATGGAACAGTCGAAGAGGTTGTTACATGAAATGATTGGGAATAGTGTTGTTCCGGATAGGTTTTGTTGTAAAATTATAGTTGAAGGGTTTGTGAGAGGAGGACGGTTACTTGCAGCTGTGAACTTTGTTGTCGAGCTTACAAGGTTAAAGGTTAGAATCCCATTTGAAGTTTGCAGCTTTCTGATAGAAAGTTTATGCCGGGAAGGTAAGCCGTTTGCAGCAAAGCATCTGTTGGAACGAATCACTGAAGAGGAAGGTCACAAGGCGACACCAGAGACTTACAATAACTTAATCGAGTCTTTCTCTCGTTGTGATGCTATTGATGAGGCGTTGCTTCTGAAAGAGAAACTCACAAGTCAGAACCAAGTGCTAGGTGTTGAATCTTACCGAGCTCTTATCAGCTGCTTGTGTAGGATTGGTAGGAACCGTGAAGCCGAGTCTTTGATGGTGGAAATGGTCGATTCTGAAGTGAAACCGGATTCTTTTATATGCGGGGCTTTGGTTAATGGATATTGCAAGGAGTTGGATTTCGCTAAAGCTGAGAGGTTATTGTGTTTCTTTGCTATGGAGTTTAGAATCTTTGACATGGAGAGTTACAATTTGCTTGTTAAAGCGATTAGTGAAATGGGAAGTGGGTATAAGAAGGTGTTAGAGCTTCAGGAAAGAATGCAGAGAGTTGGGTTTGTTCCAAATGGCTTAAGTTGTAAGTACATGATCCAAGGTTTGAGCCAACTAGACGGTTTGATGGAAGAATTTTAAACCGGTGTTTTTTTTTTTTTTTTTAATACGGGTATCTATTTCTTTTCATGAGAGTGAGTTTGTACGTCTTTTAATTAGTTTTTTTCTCCAACTTTTTTTTGCATTACAATAAATGTCTATTCATGTTCTTCTCTGTTTTATGATTCTTGGAGTTTAGATGGCAAGTGTTTCATCACTAATAGAATCATCAGTAGCCTCTTGCGTCTTCATTTTCAAATGCCGTTCGATTCACTGTAAAGTAGTGAACTGTGAGTTACGGCCATAGATTCATTGTTCCTGGAAACGGTAGAGAAGAAGTGAAAGTGGTGGATGCTCTTATGAATTGGTATGAAAAGACTAGAGAGTTTAGTTTATCTTATGAATTGTTTGAGGATATGAGTGTAAAGAATCTGGTTTCGTGGAATACGATACTCACCTGCAAAATGATTATGGAAGAGACGACATGCAAGCATTTCGAGCTCATGGTTGGTCATTATGGTATAAGTCATATGATCGTGCAACCTTCACTCACTTGTTGAGTGCAAGTAGTCACTCGGATCGTCGATACTCACTAATATTTTTTTATATATATATTTTTATGTAGAAAATTTTAAATATTTAAAAAATTTCGGTGAATAGGAGCCCTAAAATATTTTACATATATATAATTTATTTCATCACAAATTTTTATAAAGATAATGATAAAAATATTAAATATATTTAAATTTTTAATAAATATAAATTATTAAAAAAATAAATAAAAAAATTATTCGAGATCCCAAATAAATGTTGAACCGATCCTGATCAAAGGATACAAAAGAAGCTTAAAGATTAGATAGAAGAGAAACAATGAATTGGGAATTAAATCAAGAACAGAGTTTGTTACACGATGTTGTCACATGATGATGTGAAAGAGGAAATGATTAATCAACAAAGCAAAGAAGAAATGGAGCCAATTATCTTAAGAAGAATCTGAACTAATATCTTTGATGGAGAAAAGGAAACTCCTTATTAGAGATTTTAAGACCAAATTTATCGCGGGATGTTAAGTGAGTTTTAAGGAAAATTAGTCATTTAATTAATTGGAAACAAAAATAAAAATCAATTACCGATCCTTAATGAAAGTTTTTGGGAGCGTTTGTTAAGTGGGTTTTTACCCACGTGTCAACACGGGAAGTGTTTTAATTTTTTTTTTCTTTTTTTTTGGTTTTCTTTCATTGTTTCATTTGTGTTTTTCTTTGTTTTCTCCGAAGCAGAAGGGAGATTGAAACGGCAATCGAAACCGCGAACCACGAAGACTCTCTTGACAGCGTCTCCTCCAGTGGCTATGGTCCTCTTCATCAGAAAACCGAAACCACCACGGACGACGACTGTCTCAAACCTCATCGTCTTCTCTCTCTGAAACCGATCGAAATCCACCACCGACGACTACTCTCTTGGTCGTCTTCGTCTTCTCCGTCAGACTACACTCTCTGAGTGGTGAATGCAGTGCTGGTGAAGACACGTATCATCAGGTAATCCCCATCCATCGTCGATTCAATGTTAGATACATCTTTGCTTTTGTTTAATTAAACTCCATTCGATCTTATCTGTATGATTTGAGAGGGTGGATCTATTAGGTTTTATTGGACTATAGGTGATTAGGGTTTCTAGTTTAGGGGGTGGTTGTAAAGTTATGGTGTTTGATCGAAATCGATTGCATGTTCAGTGGGTTTTGTCTGATTTTTTAGTAAAAGATTCATTAGGATACACTGACATTAATCTTCACACTAGTGCTCTGTTATGATCTTTGAAGGCGTATGAAGTAGGATGTTGTTGATTACAGTTTGTGTTGATTGCTTAATAGCATTCATTATAACATCACTTTTCCAAATGCAGTATCTGTTGTAAAATAACTTGAATGATTCATTACACTTTGTGTTGATTGAAAGATTAATTATAGTTTCTGTTGTTTAAAGTTTAGTTTGGTAATTATCTCAGGACTTCTGTCATTCTATTTCATGATTTTGCCTCACATGGTTTGAGCTCTCCGCTAAAGCTCCTCCTCCTGTAATTTGAAGAAGTAACCACTACAAAAGACTCTCGGTGAGTTTAGTACATCTCCTCATTTGCTTACTTTTTTACTAATTTCTTTCGTCTGGGTAGTAGTTAGGTTAATTAAATGCTTGTTAACGTTGGGACTGTGTGGTAGTAATTGCTTCCATAAATAAGAGATACTAGTGGTTATCAGTTGGATTTTCTTGTTCTCATATTCATGTACTAAATATATGTAAATCTAATTTATATATACCAGTTTATAACAACATCTGCATGTTATTGATTTCGATTTTGATTAAGATTCAGTTTCATGTTCTTGATTCTTTATTGATTTGAGTTTAGTTATGTCTCACCTGAATCTCTTATATTGTGATATTCTTGATACTAGTTTAGTTCATTTTCGTGGCTGAGAAGTTATATATGTTTCGATGAATTCTGCTTGTAGTGTTACATTAGGTAGTAATAAATAAGTTGGATAGATGTCTACTCATCTCAACTCTACTAAACTCAAAGAGTAAATGCAATTAAAAGACCCGTATCTAACTTGATCCTTTTCTACTCTTTTTCTCTATTAAACCCGGTGCTTTGCCTCTTTATTTTTCATCTTTTGACACTTGATCTTCTGCTTCTCTTTTATTAAAAGTCACGAGTCAGTCCACCTTCTCTATTCTCTAATAATTTTGGATATGGATTCTACGAATCCATATAGCCAGTCCATCAATTTTGGTGACCTTTTAAACAGTCAACAAGATTCATTCCATCCTCAACAGTCACCAACATCCATTCCTTTATGTCCTTATGCGAGTTACTCGCATGGTGGTGAGCATGGATCATCATCCTTCTGTGAAGACTCACATACAGAGTGGAGGAAAAGAAAGAAGTGGTCAGTCATATATGTTCTAGTGTTCATAAGCGCATGGCTAAATACTAGCAAGGACCATGTGGTTTGAAACGAGCAGAAAGCAAGAGATTTTTGACAACGCATTGCAGCGTACTTTGCAGCAGGTCCAAAGGTGGCAAGAGGTGAAATGCGAACAGCCATTCAGTGCAAGAAAAGGTGGCAGAAGATGAACGATCTTGTATCCAAGTTTTGTGGTGCATATGTGGCTGCATCAAGACATAGTAAATCCGGCTAGAACGAGACTGATATTGTGTCACTTGCACACCAAATCTTCTACCACGATCAGAAGATTAAATTTAATCTTCACCATATGCTTGGGAGGAGCTGAAGAATGACCAAAATTGGTGTGAAGTTGTTGGTAGCAAGATCGATGGAAGTGGTAAGAAGAGAAAGTGTGATGATGGATCACAATCAGAAAGCTCTCAAACAACTTCTAACTTCGGTGATGAAGTAGATGATCACCCAACCAAACGCCCTCTTGGTGTAAAATCAGTGAAAGCAGCATGCGGTAAAAAAGCTCAAGTAGATCAAGAGGCTCTCTCTCAGTTTCAGACCATGTGGTCTATTAAAGAGAAATAATTGGAACTGAAAAAAGACTACAGTAAAGTAGCCTGCTTGAGAGTCTCATTGCAAAAAAAGATCCACTATCTGATTATGAAGAAGCTAATTACTGAGATGTTGGAAAATTAGTGTGAACTTGTCTATGTATTTGATGGTCCTGTTTGTGTTTCATGTTTTTGTTTCAAGTTTGATGGTCCTCTTTGTGTTTCATGTTCATGTTTCATGTTTCTGTTTCAATGTTCTGTTTATGTACTTGATGTATATTAAAGTAATTGTGTTTCTGTTTCTGTTTCTGTTTCTATTTATCGGTTTCATGTTTTTGTTTCGTGTGAAGTTCTATTAATTGTGTTTGTTTCAACGTTATGTTTATGTTTATGTTTCTGATATGTATTAAATTAACCGTGACATGTTCAATGATTTACTTCTTATTTTGGGTTTGCAGTAAGGCACAAGAAGTCAGAAGAGGAGTCAGAAGAAGTCACGAGTTTCGTTTGTATGTGTCACAAGTTTTCCTGTGTTGAGTCTTCTCTGTATGTGTCACGATCTTGTATCTAAGTTGTTTGTATGTGTCACAAGAGTTGTTTGTATGTGTCAAAGAGTTTCTTTGTAGTTTGTATTTTTGTCACTCATTTGTCTATATAAAACTCAGTCTTGTAGTTTGTAGTTTGTTACCCCAATCACAAAGTCTTCTTCTCTCACTCTCATCAACGAGCAAACAAGTTTCTTTCTGTCCAAGTTTCTTTCTCTCCAAGTTGCATTCTCTTCAAGTTAATTACAAAGTCTTATTCTCTCATTGAACGTAATCACAAAAACTATTCACCCAAAAAAAATCAATACACTTCCTACATTTTGATCCCACATATGTCATTTTCTTCTCATAACACTTTTGAAGGAATAGATGATGACTATTTTGATCAATATTTTTATCAACATTTTGATAAAAAATTCGATCAAACATTCAAAAATTTAGTTATTGATCATCAAAAAGAAAGAAAAAGAAGGAAAAAACGAGTTCATATCAAACGGAATCGTGAAGAAGGCAATGTACGTCTATGAAATGATTATTTCAGTGAAAATCCAACATATCCTGAAAATTTATTTCGATGACGATTTAGAATGAACAAGTCATTGTTCATGCGTATTGTTGATCGCTTTCCATTGAAGTTGAATACATTCGAGAAAAGAAAGATGCTCTCGGAAGGCGTTGTCTCTCTGCACTTCAAAAGTGTACAGCAGCCATTTGTATCTTGGCGTATGGTTCTGCGACTGATGCTGTTGACGAATACCTCCGACTCGGTGCAACTACTGCTCGGTTATGTGTGGAGCATTTTCCCGAAGGAATAATAAATTTATTCGGCGATGAGTACCTACGAAGACCAACACCCGCTGGTCTTCAACGTCTACTTCATATTGGTGAGCAACGTGGATTTCCAGGGATGATAGGAAGCATCGATTGTATGCATTGGGAGTGGAAGAATTGTCCCACCGCTTAGAAAGTTCAATATTCACATGGTTCGGCTAAACCCACAATAGTATTAGAGGCGGTTGCTTCGTACGATCTATGGATATGACATGCGTTTTTTGGACCTCCAGGCACCTTAAATGATATCAATGTTCTTGATCTCTCACCAGTTTTTGATGACATAATAAACGGTCAAGCTCCACAAGTTACTTTCTC